TTCTGAACCTGAGTTTCTGTTCCAGCACTGCCTGAAGTGATCCCATGCAATCTTGTTTAATTCAGGAATTACAGAGAAATAGTGCTTAGTAGGATATAAGGCTTTATTCAATAATGCATAGTCTTCGCAAATCAGTAAAACCAGTTATCAACAAGAACAGATCTCCCTGCTTCCTACTCAGCAACTGTATGGCTTCCTCTTCTCCACCATTCCTGGGACATGTGAAACGGCAGACACAAGAGACACCCTGTTGAGATCAGAGGTCTGCCTAGCAAAGTACTTGGCTTCCAGCAGAGACCAAAAAATAAGATACCTAAAGAAAAGTAAAAGAAGAGACAAAGCGAACACTGATTCTCCCCTTCAACATTTTTAAGCCTCCAACCAAACCCAGTTCAAGAACTTCTTGAGCTTGACATGGTTGCTCTGTATCTAGTAACCTTCAGTGAATTTCAATCCAATGAAACTTGTACAATCATCCCCTGAACTCACGTTAAATTCAAATATCCACAGGATCTTATAACAAAGTGTTCACAGCTCAGCTACCTGCTATGTAAAGAACCACATTCTTGACTTCGCTTTAAATCTAGCTTTTAACTACCTTCATTTGATGCTCCCAAATTCTTGCTTTTCTTAGAAGAGACAGCTAACAACTGAGTATTGTCCACACTCTCCATTCTACCTACAACTCTACAGTTCTTCCAAATCTTCCCTAAACCACCTGATTTATAGACAGAAGAATCCAAAATAAGGTGCACTTCACAAGAGCAGAGCAGGGACACAGTAGATGTGCAGTATTCTCATCTGTGAATGAAGCATAATTTGTCACTTCAAGGCTTAGTTGGCCTTGCAATCCTGACAGTATTCCCTCTATCGAACTTACCATTACATTGCATAATGAGCACTGTTTTTTTCGTTCATATGGTGTAAGTTTTGGTGCATAATCAGTATTAGCATGTCTTCCGCTACTTAATTCAGCTGCTTTCTCTTTTCTTTGTTCAATTTGTTCCATGTGCCTTCTAATACTTTCATCATGCTGAATTGAAAACAATCAAAGCAACAAAGAAAAAATACACACTGAATTACAGCAAATGGAATTAAACTGTGCAAAGAAATATTGGGAATTACTAAATATTGTACAGTTAGGATGAACTTCTGTTAAACCGAAACTATTTTTTATTTCTGAAAGGCATTAAAAGTCACCACACTTCACAGACATTTTAACATTATACTATGATTTAAAAATCAATCAGCACTATTTTTGCTTTATAGGTGATATTTAGTAACCTGTTGCAAATGCTTCTGTAAATCTTTTGGTTACATTTAACATCTCAGTTCTGGTTTCATCCTTCATGAAACACTCTAGTATAGAACACAAGTTCAACTTCCAGTTCTACAAATATGTAACTTATATAGTGCTGTTTTCACTGACAGATATGAAATCATAAAGTACAAATTAAAGTGAAATAAATTACTTGTTATTTATCCACAGAAGCAGGCACAGTTCACTGGATTCTTTCAGAGGGTTTTCATACCTGACCCTCATGAGAGAGGAACAAACTCTCAACTATTATTTAAAATCAGAGGCTGGGGTATGAACCTGTATTTAATAAAAAACCTACATTTTACAGTACAAGTAAATGTAGCTATGGTGCTTCACAGACTGGGGTCAGAGCAAAGAATAGCACTGGAATGAAAAATTATTTGTAGATATACATAAACCATCCTACAATAAAAATTTACAGAATTTATCACTGATTGAAACTTTAATACATAGTTCCACCTCAGAACCTTAAAAATACAATTTATCATTTTAGAAGCCTTTACATCTCTTGAAAGATAGTGCGTATCTCTTCAAAACTTCTGATACCTTGGTTCTCCACTCGACAGTCAATTCAGCTGAAGTCAATTCAGCGGAACAGGTGAACTACAAGGGGTTCAATCCTTATGCCTATTTTATGAAATAACTGGAGCCCTTCATGAAACAAAAGGAAATAGCATGCCACGCGTGATGGCATCAATTTCAATACCTTTAGATATCACCTTATGTCACTGTTTGGTGAAACATCTTCACTAAACGGAGTTGTCCTGGTTTCGGCTGGGATAGAGTTAATTTTCTTCCTAGCAGCAGGCATAGTGCTGTGTTTTGGATTTAGTAGGAGAAGAATGTTGATAACATGCTGATGTTTTTAGTTGTTGCTGAGTACTGCTTATGCTAGTCAAGGACTTTTCAGCTCCCCATGCTCTGCCAGGCGCACAAGAAACTGGGAGGGGGCACAGCCAGAATAGTTGATCCAAACTGACCAAAGGGCTATTCCATACCATATGACTTCAGGCTCAGTAGAGAAACGGGGGGGGGGTGGCCGGGGAGCAGCGATCGCTGCTTGGGAACTGTCTGGGTATCGGTCGGTGGGTGGTGAGCAATTGCATTGTGCATCACTTGCTTCGTGTATCTTTATTATTATTATCATTAATGGCCCATAACCCAGAGGTCGATGGATCGAAACCATCCTCTACTACCACAAAAAGGACTGTCGTGGTTTAGCCCCAGCCAGCAACTAAGCACCACGCAGCCGCTCGCTCACTCCCCCTACCCCGATGGGATGGGGGAGAGAATCGGAGGAGTAAGAGTGAGAAACACTCCTGGGTTGAGATAAGAACAGTTTAATAATTAAAATAAAGTAAAATAGTAATGCTAATAGTAACAGTATAATAATGATAATAATAATAATGATACACGAAGCAAGTGATGCACAATGCAATTGCTCACCACCCACCAACCGATACCCAGACAGTTCCCAAGCAGCGATCGCTGCTCCCCGGCCAACCCCCCCCCAGTTTATATACTGAGCATGACGTCATATGGTATGGAATAGCCCTTTGGACAGTTTGGATCAACTATTCTGGCTGTGCCCCCTCCCAGTTTCTTGTGCGCCTGGCAGAGCATGGGAAGCTGAAAAAGTCCTTGACTAGCATAAGCAGTACTCAGCAACAACTAAAAACATCAGCATGTTATCAACATTCTTTTCCTACTAAATCCAAAACACAGCACTATGCCTGCTGCTAGGAAGAAAATTAACTCTATCCCAGCCGAAACCAGGACAGGAGTTTTTACATATTGATTTTCCTCACAACTTAATTCCAAATTACTTTGATTTCTCTTGGAAGTACAGGTTTACTTGTTCTCATGCTCAAAGCTTTGAAACTGATCAATTCCACAGAACTCAGTCCTGTTCTTTCCAAACTACACAGTGTATGTTATACAGCAAGGTTGTCTTATTAATGCAAAGGTCTAAATAAAAATCTCTTGTAAAGTTATGTAATTCAGGACACTGTACATCTGCAACATCTTCATCAAATAAAATAATTTTGAGGAAATTCTATCTTGTTGATGTATTTTTCAACTAAAGTATCCTTTTATACCTTCAGTTGAATCTTCTTCTGTAATTCTTCCATGGCTTCTTGTTGAGCTGCAGTAAGAGCTGCCAACCTCTCCTCTCGATCTCTAACCAAAGGATAGTAAACACAGGGAAAACTTGTAATAATGTAAAGCATTTTTATTGCATAATATTGACTAATTTACTTTTGAAATGGGACCCCAAAAAATGAAGCTGAAGATGGCTGATTAGAAAAGACAGACAACAAGAAGCAAGTTAGTTAACAGAGAATACAGATGCTTTAATTTCAATTTATTAAAGGCAGACACTTGAACCTTTGTAGGAGAACCTGGATCATACCTCAGTCCAAACCAGACCAATGACAGTCAACACAATGCTACAAAATAGAGATGAATGTAATACCCTGCCACCATTAGTATTCTTCAGCCAATGGCTATAGTCAGTGAACTAAAGGGGAGGAGTACAATGGCAAATCAAAGAAAAACCATGCAGCAATAAGGGCAGTGCATTTTATAAAAATGACCATCAGTGAAAGCTTGAATATGTAAACTTATAGATAAAACTTTGACCAACATCAAATGACACCGTCACAAGCGATAAATTGATGCTGTAGAATATTGCAATTCTAAATGTTCAAGATACCAAAGGATAGCAGAAGATTAGGCATTTCTCTTACTGTCACCTTCTGTACATAACTGCTGTCAAGACCTATTTTGCTCACTGAACCTGTCTGCCCTACATCCCTCTTCCAAAACCTGAATCATGCCTCAGACTTCAATTTTCCTCTTCACTTCTAGCAACTCTCCTTCCCCTCTCCAGCAAAGTGCTAAAGCACAGCTGTCATGCATGTGTATGTCAGTAAGAGCCTGTGAATCCCCTAAGCGTCACCCTATTGAAGAGATAAGATTTTTTTTTCTGTCTGAGAAAAGAACAAGAGGTATAGCTTGATCTGTTACTATAACTATTAAGCAGAAAGCTGCAGATAACAGTTTCATCAAGAACAACTTAATAGTGATCAGTAAGCCAAGGAAGCTATTAAACCCTAAAAAGGAATAAAGTCAGCCACTCACGCTGTATGTACAAAAAGAACTGGGAAGGGAGAGAAACACTTCTCCTGGAAGTCTGGCAGCTGTGAAGGGCCAAAAGAAGTAACGAAAGCTTTGAGTAAAAATGAGCAATGAAGAAGTCATTCAAAGCCATTAGCCATCATTTTAAAAGGCATTCTAAAATTCAAGTAGTTTCAGTGACAAAACTAGAAAGGATAACATAAATAATATTATCCAAACTGCAGCAGTTTTTGTTTTGTGTGGATTTCTGTTTGTTTGGTTTTTTAAACAGAAAACTCATAGAAATAGCAAAGTCATTTCAGTAAAAGTACAAGGCTCAGATAAAGTAACATTTTAAAACAAAAAGCCACAGAAAATATAAAAGCAGATAGGAAAGAAGACAGGGGAGGAAGCAAGTCTAACGATAAACACTACACACAATTGTTCTTTCAGAAAGTATAAGTGAACTCTCCCAATTGCCATGGGCATGGAGGGGCCGGGGTGAGGAAGAGATGATGGATGAGAAGCATTAGGTAGTTTATGTGCTATCTCCCCTGAGGTATATAAAGAAAGGCTGAACTACAGTCTTTATTTTTGTTTCAAAGAGCTCCTGACTCACACCATGAACTGAAACAAATCACAACTAACACAGGACCCAAACCCAAAGCTTATTTTAGCTATTTCTTTCAGTATGCATTTTAGAATATTTGGTTAATCCTACAAACTATGACAAATTATTATCATTGCATACTTTGGATTAATAATATTTGGAACAAAATTCTAAAGTTTCAATTTATAGAGCATCAACATTATTCCTTTACAAGCCCTCTGAAAAGCATGCTTTTTACATGATTAGGTTACATTATACAGTTTTATGATTTCTATTGACAAGAACAAAATTTTCCATATTATGGATTTCAACTCTCTGGAATATAAAATACTCTGAAATTACATCTAAAACCTTACCGGAATCAAGTTAATGTACCGTAAGGGCAGAGGGGCTTTTAGAGTCAGTTTTAAGTACACTATTCCTTTCATACAGATGCTTTAATCACCACCAGATGCACATGGTAAAGCTTATACTGAAGCAACTTTAAGCAGATATTCCAAAAATTACTCATTCCAGCAAGTATTAAATCTTCAGGATAAGAGTCAAATCCTAGCAGCAGGAAAAAAACCCAACAAAACAAAACACCAAACGATACCCCGAGGTTCCACCAAAACGTGCCAAAGTCCAAGATGGAAGGGACAGTACAGCCAGCTTCCCATCAAGCTCATCTCTCCCTTAACGTCTAAACCAGACCACTTTGAATCCTCCTCTAACTCTACTAATGTTAGAGAAACCTCAGAACTGTTATTAAGGAGATGCAATGACTCTGAGGCCATTCTGATATAACAGAATCACCAGATTGTAGAGCACCACACATACATTCTTTCTTAAAAAAAATAAAAAAAAAAAAAAAAAAAAAAAAAAAAAAAGGAAAAAATCTCTCTGGTATAATCAGCCTCTGGCAAAGAAAAACAAATGCAAGCACGGTACTGCAATATCAAGTACAAAGCACTTGAAAACCGAGTGCTATAGTAGCAAATATAGAGGAAATTTGCTGAAACGCAGTACTTAACAGAAGGCAAATGGAAACTGCTGTTCTTCATGTCATAATGAAATAAATGGGGTGCAACAAAGGAAAGTGGCAGATTTAAAACCGATTAAACAAAAAGAGCAAAGAATTACGTGCCTTGAGCCTTTAGACGAGTTCTAACTGTAGAAGACCTCAGAAGGCAAAGATGTCAATGGGACAATTACCTCACATTTGCTTACTGTGAGGGTTTCCTCAAATTTCAGAAAGATGTAGAAGCCTTACACATGCAGCGTCTATCTTCCCAAAATAGCATAACCAAAATTCTCCCTGTTAGTCCTAATCTTCCTCAAGTGTCTGTGAATGAGAATAAGATATTGAAGGATCCCTTCCAAATCACTCTGTCTCATTGTGACTTTGGCTCAATATATTGAGGAAAGGAGCATGAAGTCCTGGGCAAGGCCATAGGTCCTATCCACAATTCATTAAACATCTAATTGAAAGTTGAATCTCTTTATGATGTCAAGCTAGAATTACTCATGACTTTGGAAGATGAAAGGTGATCAATACATTTCTGAATATATTACTTGGAGAAAAAAACCCTTCATGACTACTTTGAAGAAAACAAGCTCTGACAATAAAAATGTTTAAAGAACCATTAGTGAACACTTCTTGTCATATGAAAAATGTAACTTCGATTTAGATTTTATGGAATGCTTGTGGCAGTGGAACTGTTAAAGAGGGAATAATAATAGGAGGTGAATACAAATAGAATTTGGCAAGTTAAACAATAAGCAGAAAGCAGTTTTCCTGAATCAGTCATGAAAGTAAACCTTTCTCACACACCGCAATGCTACCCAACACTCATTCTCTTTGCACCTCGTATTTGGCTCATGAGAGAGAGAGAGAAGAGCCCATATGAAAACCCATTTAAGAACTTTTGATTATGGGCAACAACATAAACCAAGTAGTTCATAGGCAGTAGAATTAATGAAGCCTGATTTCCAGGCTTTGTGCCTCACAAATGTAATCTCTGGCGTCTACAAAAAGGTGAACTCAAATTGATGACAGTAAATCCAAAAGTTACTGAGGGTGGAGGAAATGGGGAACATAGGGACATTAATCTTGCTTCCTTTGAAAACTAAGCTAAAATATGAAAAAGGCAAATTATTAAAAGGTCTTGTTAGCAATAAAACTAAGATGAATATTATAAAATACAGCCTTTCATGTTATATTGTGCATGTATCTAAGGAATACAAAAATCTATTACAGAATTTATGATTACTCACCTGATTTCTTCTTCCAAAACATTCATCAAGAATATTTATTAATGTTACTATTAAAAATACTAAGCCTGAATAGCTAAGAAGGTACTGTTGTTGTTAAGACAGAAGCTACAGTTTACTGGAAAGGATAACAGTGAAGGGCAGGGAACCCACAAAATTATTGTACAGTTACCTGGCCCTCTCCCGTGCAGCATCTTCTCGTGCTTTTTCTTTCTCTTGCCTCTGCTGTTCAATCCGTGCTTCTTGTTCTTTCCTCTTCATCAGCAGCTCCTCAACTCGGGCTTGCCGTTCTGCTTCCAGGGCTCTTTTGCGCTCCTAGTTATAGAAAAGTAAATTCTAACTTTTCTTTTAGGAAAAAACCAAAAAGGAATTAACAGAAACTGTATTTTAACATCTGCTTATAGAATTTTATCTTACTTTCATGATGGAGTAAGAACTGCACTTTTATTAGATAAAGGAATAATATGCAAATATGAGTATGTTCAAAAGCTTGAACATACATTGAAAAGCACAGTTGTATGAACTAAGCTACATATTAGTTGGCAAATATTTTTCTCATCCTGAAAAAGTCTATCCACTACAAAAGCTTATAAAACTAGTTCATTAATGAGAGTATTTGAGAATATTTCAAACATTCCACCAGATACAGGTGATGTAGAAATCACATATGCTCCCATGCAATATTAATATTTAAATTATGATTCTGAAACTGTCTGAATGATATTAAAGAACAAAATGGATTTTGACAATTTATTTTTGCGCTTCCACCGAATATATGATTCCTTTCTCACTACTCAGTTTTTACTTTTTTCTGACTAATTAAGAAACTGTGCACAGTATTGTAAACCTTTCTGACAGAATGGCTATACTTCTATCAGCAACAAATGTAAAAATAAAGCATGTTTGAAACCTCATATAAGCCATTTATAAGTAGACATTAAGTTGGTGAGTTTTACTAAGAGGAAATGTGATTATTTGGCTTAGCTGAAAGTCTGGGAAAAAATGGGTGTTTAATGTGTTCTTCAAATTCTTATCTTGCTGAAAAATTAAGTCTGTTTTATATGACAGCATAAATGAAAAAAAGATATTTAAACACATTTTTAAAATATACTCCTTGCCACAAGCTCCAGAGCTGTAAAATCACATCACTATACTAGCAAATAAATTATCTTCCTTTCAGGAGACAGTATGAGATTTCATTAGCACAGACCAAAACTTGCTGGAAAGATGAACATTTTCACATGGTTAAATGAGGGCCCCGCATTCTTAAATATTTGCTTTACAAAAACGTAGACATATTAAAAGCAGAAAACATTAACCTTATGCTTTATTTTATTCAAGAAATGAAGAACTACAAAAATAAGTGAACTTTTTTTGTTTCATGCACAGCATTTTATATTAGTGAATATGATGTTAACTGCACTGTCTTCATCTCCACAAGCAATATAGCTTGGTAATGGATAACCAAAGCGGTGGCTTTCACAGTAACCATATTCTTTCATGCATAAAGTTTCAGTATCAGCATTGCACAAATACATTAATTTCCTTCTTAATAAAATAAATAAGATAAAAATAATAATAAAATAAGATATGGCATACTTTACTGCAACTGTACTATTAAATCAATAAGAATGCAAACTGTTTTATAGAATACACCCAGTGCATCACAAAACAAATACTAGTTCTGGTGGACATTCCCTACAAAGACCTTTAAGGCGGCATTTGGAAATGGACCAGTAGAGCTTTGAATTAGGTACCATTTTGAATTAGGCACCATTGCTACTAAAAGGAAAAGCAAGTAAAAACTGAAAAAAAATCTGCAGTAGGTCTTGTAATTAAAAAGTTAAAATAAGCTTGATGGAAGGAAAGGTTTAAAGGTGAATCTGCAGAATTTGGTGTCAGGAAGAAGCAAGAAGATTTTATTGAATGCATCTGAGAAATACTTGAGGTTGACAAAGACATTGTTCAGGTAGATAAACAGAAGCAGCCCAGTTTCCATAGATACTGAAATTTTATACCTTTTTTTGAATCCTTGTGATTTTAAATGATGTATATCAAAAGTCCATCACTGCTACAGTAAACATAAAGTAGTTACGTTTAGAAGTGTTGTATTCTTCCAGTGTTTTAGGAGTTTTTGCATGAAGTTAAATGCATACTTACAGGCCAGAACTCTCATGATTCATTTCAGTTCAGTATGAACATACTTACTAACTGCTAAAAAAGTTGTTATACTGGGAGTGGGTCCAGCTCCACAACAGTGCAGGAAAAGCTCTCCCATGAGGGGAATACACTTATAGAGGACAGCAGGGGAAGCTACAGCATACCTCAAAATATAGGGTTTTGCTCAACTGTTAAGCAACTTTTGCATGAAAAAAAACAGAGCAGGAAGCATCAGTTTGATCCTTGGTCTGGCAGAAAGGATACAGAGAGAACAGCGTGGTCCTAAGTGGGATTTAGTAGTGAAAGCCTGTCTGCAGTGTTTGTTCTAGTTCAACTACCAGCCTAAGAACAATCTAATACCTACACAGCCCAGGAAAGGACAAAAAAAAAAAAAGAAAAAAAAGGGGGGGGAGAGAGAGACAAGAAAGAGTTAAAAACGCCCAAAATACCAAAAACAGACTCCAGAAAAGCTGCATTCTAGAGTAAGGGAGTATGAGTAACTACAAAAACCAGGACCACTGAGATCAGATTTTTATAAACAATCTGGAAGCGTACTTTTCACTGATAACGCAATCAACCCTTGCAAATCCAGAAACTTTTATTAATACATTCTCTCAAAAAGAGTTTTATCCAGCGCTTTTGGAGTACCTTCTGTCTCAAAAATGGCTTCTGAGCCACGAAGTCAGTAACGTGCCCCATTTTTCAACAAGGAGATAGGATCAGCTGCTAATGCTACGTACTAAGCTCTGTCAGAAGCTGGATTCACAGGTGATCTACAGTTGTGATCTGAGGCACATATAGAGAGGGAGGAGGAGTTTATATAAGAAGAAAACTTATGTTTCAAATTCTAACATAGAGAACAGTGCCAAAAAAGTGGATGCGTGGGGCTGGGAAAACTTAGCATTGGAACGCTGTATTAAAATAAACCAACAAAAAAAACCCCAAACCCCAAAAAACAACCCACACCAGGATTCCAGGAACACAAACACATTTGCATTGTGGTTTTCACTGATCCTGTAAGAAGTATAATGACAGCAGGCACATTATAAGGAATATTTTTCTGTTTCCTCTCTCAAAGTTTTAAGTGTTACCAAAACAAGGCTTTTCTTATAATGGAGTAACAAACATTTTTAAAAGAAGTTGTTTAAGACAGGCATGAATCATCTACCCAGTATCTATAATACCTCTGCTATAGTGACTTTAAGGCTTACCTTTCTCCTTCTTTACTGCTGAAACATTATAAAGCAGAAACTTATTATACTTTTCTGAAGTTGAACAAAGGAGGTAAGACAGACAGCAAAGACTGAATGGCCAAAATGAGAAACAAATATGTATTTCATTGTCCCCCTGCAACTACAGATACATTATACCTGAACTGCTTCATCACGTGCTTGTTTTTCCTCTTGTCTTCGTTGACGTTCTTCTTGCAATTCATTTAAGCGTTGTTCATATTCTTTTAGTTTATTCAACACATCATGACGTTTGTTCTGAGCTTCTAAGGTGTTTATAAATGCAATTTCATTTACCTGAAAATAATCAGAAAGTGTAAGAAAAGATCTGAGAAGTTGAAATAAGTTTCATTCCTAGTGAATTCCATCCATTTGTTAAATACCCATTTCATAATTAAACCAATGGGACATTTCTCCAGAATGGGCTGGAGAACTACCAAGTTGAGAATAAGGCTTTGGTTTTTTGTTGGGTTTTTTTCTTGTTGTTGTTTTGGGTTTTGGCCTTCCCCCCCCCCCCTTTCTTTCTTTCCTAAACAGGATAACCCATGGTGTACAAAAGAGAAATTGAATTGTATCAGAAAAACAAGAAACTATGGCTAAATACCAGGAAAATCTTCCCAGTTTTCTCAGCAATGAGACTTCATTAGTCTATTCTTTGATTCACAAAATGTGGAATGTTAAGACCTAGCTTGATAAATCAGTATAAGTGTTAGTAGAATCCAAAAGGTCTTCTGATCTAACTTTAAATATATTGGTACTTACTGAACAAAAAAGTGAAACTATACATACTATGAATGAGAAAAAAACTGAACAAGCTCATTGTCTTAGTATTTCTTATCAGTATAGCCTGTTTCACAAACATATATTATTTTTCTCAACCACAGGACAGTCCAATACACAAGAATAAAAAAAGAAAATAATATGAAAAGGCTAACTTAAAAAGTACTTTAATGTGTATACTAAAAATATCAAAGAATATGCTTTTCTACTAATTAGGTTCATGAAGGTAATCAATATTTTGTCCTTGCTATAAGGTTCCTGAACAAAATTCTTGTCAACTTCAGGCTTTTAAATGCAAAAGCTTTAGAAATTTATAGGGATGGGAAAAATTAAGCTCTTATTTAACTTAACTTTGATTTAATAAAATAAAAATTTTAGAACCAAATTTATTAAGGAAAAATCATAAAAATTTATCAGCTATAAACCATACTCAAACCTATGACTGAAACAGAAATTCTTTTGCTGTACTCAAAGTTCATGCTCTGTCTGAATCCACAAAAGAAATGAGTAAAGATAAGATACATGCAGAGACAACAACACATCATGTAAAGGGTGGTAGGATATTTTTGTTGCTTGTTTACTGACTAGAATACATTTACAGAATGGATTTCACAGTTCAGTAAACAAGTAAGCGCTGGGAATTAAGATAACCAATTGGGGAGCAACAGTTACCAGTCTTCAGCTATACTACTCATCAGCTATTTCTCTAAAGCCTTCTGGCTCAATTAACCTTTATTTCCAGAACACAAGAACCTCAAGAGGCAGCAGATCTTACACATTTAAACACACAAAATCCTTGAAACATCTGCTTAGCTGGGGAATTATGGCAAGTGTGATTTAGTTAATATGATTATAGAAGTCACACCGGTGTAATGAAATAATAATGAAGGTATGTTAGACTGATCTAGAAATCATTTTAATCCAAGAGATGGAAACAGCAACTAAGTAAAAAAGCTAAATCAGTTTTGTGTGCTTATCTTAAATACAGATGAACAGCTGCATCGATGACAGCTGAGATAAATGTTACATTATATAATGTAACATCTGAGTTTTAAGGAGATGCATGTACGTTGACTTGGGAAAAACAGTCTTTAAAATAAAATATTTCATTTATATTGCGCTAGTTTTGCTGGGATAGAGTTAATTTTCTTCATAGTAGCTAGTATGGGGCTATCTTTTGGATTTGTCTGGAAACAGTGTTGATATACAGGGATATAATACAGGGATGTTTTCATTACTGCTGAGCAGTGCTTACACAGAGTCAAGGCCTCTGCCGCTTCGCGCACCACCTGCCAGCGAGTAGGCTGGGCGTGCACAAGAAGTGGAGAGGGAACACAGCCAGGACAGGTGACGCCAACTGACCAAAGGGATGTTCCGTACCATATGACATCATGCTCAGCAATAAAATCGGCGCGGGGGGGGTGGGTGGAGGTTGGCGGGGGGTGCCACTGCTCAGGGACTGGCTGGGCATCAGTTGGTTGGTGGTGAGCAATTGTTTTCATTTGCATTGCTTGTCTTTCTTGGGTATTATTTCTCTCTGTTATTTTCCTTACAATTTTTTTTTTTTTTTCCAATTATGAAACTCTTTTTATCTCAACCCATCAGATTTCTCATCTTTACACTTCCCATTCTCTCCCCCATCCCACCAGGACAAGGAGGGGAGTGAGTGAGCAGCTGTGTGGTGCTTATTTGCCATCTGGGGTTAAACCACAACAATGTTTATCAAAGTAATACAAATAAGGTAAACCAAAAAGCATTCATCTAGTGCTCGTCTTATGAAGTTAGGTATTAAAGTCAGAAGAGTACTAAAAAAAATACTTACTTTAGAATAACTGCCATGTGTTAACTGTAGGTTTTTATTTATTTCCAACTGTTTAACAATATTAGCAGTACAAAACACAGCAACAGAACTACTGTTTAAGGATACAGAATGCTGGATCTAAAATGGATGTTTAACAAAGGAGAAGAGCAATGAGCTCTCCCCAATTCTCATTCTACATGCTGGAAAGCAGAGAATTGATAATCAGATCTTCGACTCCTTCCAGAAGGACTAGTTATCACCGAAAATGCTGCTATACTCTCTATGAGGAACAAATGCAGCAAGACTACTATCAGCTCTTTATTTCAACCCATTTTTTCTTCCAGTCCAACCCACCATGATGTCTAATAACAGCTAATTAAATTTTAAATTCATATTAGAGAAAAATTGTCCAGTTTAGAGGTCAGCATTTATCCGCTTCATGGTTCACACGTGTTCAGACCAAACTTGCATCATACTTCACAACCTCCTTCAGAGTGCTCTGTGGTACAAAACATATACAAGCATAACTATTAAACAGTTCCCCTTTAAAACAAAATAACGTACCTTAGCTTCTTCCTCTTGTGCTTTTTTCACAATTGCTTGTAGCTGCACTTCACGTTTAAATTCTGCATGGAGTAATTTTTCCTCCATCATCCTGCGTCTTTGATCTAATAATTCTTCTTTCCATTTCCGTACATCTTTCTCCTGTATATAATGAGCAAATACATTGCTAATACAGTAACTAAAAATAGGGCCTGAATTTTACTCAGAATTTTCTAATATTTGTGGCTTTATTTGCAGTAATAGAACATTTTCATGCCCTACACAAAGCCTGCATTAAGTTTAACCCAAAGTACACTGATTTGGTAAGTGCTTTAGTTTGGTGAGTTTCAGCCTTTATGTTGGATACATGCAACACATTTCATGCCTTCCCTGAACCTGAGTCAGTACAGTATGTCAGCAACACTCTCACAGAAGTTCATGATTTGAAATAATGCTTTAATATCTGTGATGCATGAGTCATCTGCATGAGTCATCTGTGAAAACTATGTGAGCTCAGACCCAGAGTTAGTTTTAATCTCTAATATTTCGAGACTATGTGGGGAAAAAAGCTTTTCTGAAAGGCAGCAGACCAGCTCCTTTGTATTATAGAAAGCTTACCCTCTCCATCAATTTTTGAAGCTTCAGTGTCTTTTCTTCACGTAACTTTTCTCTCAGCTGTTGAGCTTTCATTTGTTTCTCTTCATGTTTCTTTTTGGACTCTGCTATTGTTCTTTTAATAAAAAAACACAGCAGAACAAAAGCAAGTGAGACAACATTAACTGACAGCGTTGCAAACGTTTCTGTCATTTTCAGTAAGGGAAAATGAACAGGCCACTGGAGGGCAATTATTTCCCCTAAATGTAAATACTGTTCTTCTAGTCTTCAAATCTTTATTTGCTGGACAATGTAGCATGAACCTAGCTTGTTATGAAAATAATATATTGATTTCAATAACGCTTTCCACCCACAGACCTAAAGAAAGTAAATTTATGAACAGTTTTGTGCAGCCATGAATCTGGTTGCTTGTTTTGCCTGACTAATCAAGACAGGTAACAACTCTAAAACCTTTTGCGTGACGGTGATGACAGCTTCTCATGCATGTGTATTCCATGTCCAGGTGGACGTGCAGGCTCTTCTTCCACTCTGTCTCCCCAAGAATTACTCTGGCGCCATGATTCACGAGCTGTACATAAAGAAAACAAAGACTTAGATAATGTAAACACACTATTCTGGGAGAAGTGCAACTAATGAGGCTTAGCTCCTCTTCAAAGTCTCTCTCAAATGGGTCCTCTTGAGCCTAAGTAAGGTGCAAACACAGACTGAAGCATTTCTAATCCCTGTGCCTTTTCAACACCTAATGATTTTACTACACTTTTATCCAAATGTTAAGATAAAACTTGGTAACAAATTTTAAAATCGTAATAAAGAAATGGGGGAAGAGAGCTGAAGAACAAAGACACACAGACAGTGTGAACATACAAGTCCATCTTTCCTAAGGAAATAACATTAAAAAATAACATAACTTGGAATAATATTTAGATGTTAGGGGGATCTTCTGAAACCTTAAGTGGCCATGAGTAAAACGGGCATTTTTCTGAATTTTGCTGTAATTTCAACATAAGCACAGTAACATATGAAAATTTACCTTCATAATCTGCCAGAACGTCATTCCAGTCCATAGACATACCGCAGAAAGATATGCTTCCGTTGCCCATACTAGCCTGAAATTTAATACGATCCAGACAGTAAAAACGTAAACCTTAATGCGCATGTGTACACACATATTAAACAGTGCCAACTTAGTGATATTCAGCAATGTTTCTCAACTGAACTAGCCATCTCAATTGGTTTAGTGTGGACTTGGTAATGTTAGGTTAATGGTTGGACTGGATGATCTTAAAGGTCTTTTCCAACCTAAATGATTCTATGATTCTATCTCAGAGACAGATGCTGTTCCCGCTGGTTTTGACAGTAGAAAGGGAGACTTCTGCTTCACCTAGAGTAGCTCCTGTGTAGTAGCAATGAAAATAACAACTTCCAGCTCTCCCAGTTTCACACACAGAAATAGGCAGCAGGACAATGACTGCAACATCAGAGGCCTTTGTACCACTGTGCTGCTGAGCTTATTAAGACTAAATATACCTTAGACAGTGATATAATTATTACATTACACTATTTACTTTATTTGCATGTAAAACAGATTACATTAATGTAAACCCAAACACTAACAAATTCTATATTCATACTTCACTGACATCAAAGACAGCTTGAAGTTGGGTACTTTAAAATAAATTGAACACTCACAGAGAAATCGCTATCATTGTCAGTCTCGATATTAATGTCATTGTTTTCCTCTGCCTCAATCTCTCTAGTTAATTGCTCTTCTTCTGCAATAGCACTAGCAATGGCTTCTTCATTTGCCTTTTCCAGGCGATCTGCTAACTCTTCTTTCTTAGCAAGGACTTCTGCCATAGACTGTAGGAAACATGAGACCAGAAAAAAACCCTGAAATCAGTACCAGGGACAAAAAAAGTAATTTCCATATAATTAATATGAATTACATGATATTTTGTTCAACTTCTAATTACTTGTAGTGCCTTTACTGCTATATTTTGTGAAGGTAACTGAACTATAAACACCACTAAAACTGCTAGCAACTATGAACTCATTTAATAGCTACATGAAACACCTATGAAATTAGTTATCATTCACATAATTCCAAAACATATTACATGAGCGCTGTCATTAAAAGCAACAAAGACAGTTTTTCTCTAATTATTCTTTTAAATACCTAGTCTTAGGAACTAAGCAATGCATACTCTGAAACATTAATAGCATGCTCTGCTGTTATCTCCAGAACAGGAATCATGCTCCAAAGTATTATTTAAAGATGAAAATTAATCTGCAGATGCTGTATCTGGAAACTTTACTGTAGTTAATACAACAGAATCTCAGGCTATACTTGGTTTTCAACATGAATGACAAGATAGTTAGGCAAGAATGTAAGCTTGAATATGCTGAGTGATTGTATTCTTCTCTAATATCCAGTACTAACTGGTTCATTTCCGCTCCCACTACCAATGTGCCACAATACACAAATCTCTGTTCAAAGCAGTAAAATGCTCACAAGAGACACATATCCCACCAAACTGTCAGAATCCTGAACTGTTAATAATTGAGAATCTGAAACAATGTTAAGGGATGAGATGCTAGAAATCAGCTCTAAGAACAGCTACTTGACTTGGAAATTACCTCGCAGGAGTCCAGTTTGTAAAAGATGTTAAAGGGAAAGCGATTTACAGGAAAACTTTTACAAATCATGATTTTAATCTAGTTTCTGAAAATAACAAAATAAAACGTAACTTGAAAGCGTAACCTGTATTTTACGTAGCATTACTGCAATTCTCCACTCAGAGAATCCCAGTAAAGCAGACACACCTTGAAACCTGCAGAATTCTACAAACAAGAAAGGACATTCTTTTTAGGAAGTCACATAAAAACAGAATACTGACTTCACATTTGTTGCTTAAGAATGACATTCGCCCAAATTGCTAGTTGTATATAAGACCCAAGAAAGCAGTTCAGCTAGTCTTAAAAGGCAGAGACCCACATTTGTTTCTAACAGAATTTTGATATCCCATGGGTTTCTAGTTTGAATAATTAGCAAAACTGGAGTAAGAATTTAATGAGAGTCTGACTTAATGATTGATAGTGGAAGGAAATGAAAAATTATGGCAAACGTAAAAAATGTAAAAAAAAGTAATGAGAACACAGATCTCTCTATTCGAAAGAACGCATTTATATCTTTCTAATTTAAGTTCAAAGACTTTACTGGAATTAAATCCTATCATGAAAAGTATCTGTGCAACAAATTATTTTTTCTACAGTAAGTACCTCATAGACTTTTCTATAATTTCTACAACAGGCTAACAATAAACACTGTGCAACACAGCATGAGAAAATTAAGGCTTATATTTATTATTTACTCAGAAATCTTACAAGATTTCTTACCAATCTGGCAGCACTCACATTTGAAATATCTGAGGGATCCATTTCAGTTTCAGTTTTTTCTGTTTGATGCTGGTCTATAGTACCAGTGATCAGGGAGGAAGCTTCATTAATCTGCAGTCTTTTTGAAGTCAAGTCAGTATTTGTGAGAAGTGGAGGCATCTCAGAAACTGTTTGTAACGAATCTTCTTGCAACAGTGTGCCAGTGCTCCCATTGTCTTCTGAGGCATGTGCTGTGAACTAACAAGAGGCATTTGCAAAATTAACGAAATGTAACACACTGATTTTTAAACTCATGAGAGTCAAAAGGATTTTAGCAAAATACCTGACAATCTTACAGTGAGTGAGGCAAATAACTTCACATATACTTCAGGTGCTCATAACCTTGCAAAAGTCGGATCTTTCTACTGGAAATCTTCTATGTATGAGATGTGCATAATCATGAGTTTTTGGAAAACATGGGAAATCTGTCCACAGCATGGTAAAATACATGGTTCGCATCATGATTTTTAACTTGCCTATTTGTGCCAACATCTTAATGCGTTTCCATAAATGTAACTGAAATAGTCATTATTTTTAAATCCTTTTCCAATCTGGTTAGTGAATAAAAGCTCTACACAACACTACCTTTAGAAAATACTCTAAAGAAAAAGTTGCAAGAATTAAGGTTAGAAAACAGTTCAAAACTGTACTGACCTGAGTCCTTTCAGTAAGCGGACCTTCAGACTGATGTAAAGGATCTTTCTGTACAAGCTCTGTGCTTTTGGATGCACCACTGTCAGTGAGTGAACTCCCACGCTTATTCGCTGATGGTGGTGAAATGACATTTTCTTTGTCACTGTCACCTTTGGACTTTGGTGATTCTGCAGCTATAGGAGTTTTTGTTGCCAAAGCTGTGGATCGAGATCGAACAGGCCTTCCACGCTGAACCGTTTCCCAGCCCTCTGCATCCTTTCGATCTACATAAAAAAATAAAACACCACATTCTAAGAAAGGGAGACTTATAAATGGAAGTATTATAAACAACTATTTTATTACAGTATCACACAAGTTGTGTGATAAAAATGTTGTTTTTAAAAATCAATTTAAAAAAATCAATTAAATATTCTTTAGCAAAGTTTTACTTCAAGGAGTGCTATCAGTTTCACAAACACTGAAGAACTCTATTCATGGGACCAGTTCTGTTACTTCAAGAAGCCAAGCTACTCGTACACAAAACCATGTGAAAAATGGCAACATGTACTTAAGCTTTTCATGCCTGTGTTGTTATTTCACAAGATGGCAAAGCACAACAAAGCACCACGCTCTTGTTCTTTGTAGCAACAGTAACATTAGAGGCCTTTTGTGAAAGTGCAAATCTCTCCAAGCACAGACATAATTGCACGTCTTAGTGTGGAAAATATTGTCCAGAATGTGGCTTACTATTCTTCCAGAAATGTTTTCTTTACTTTTTCCATTTGTTTCATTCTGATAATAAAAATACACTAATCAGTGTCAGCTTTCGGAAAATTTGTTTTCCTGGATTCCAGGAAATAGCAAAATATTGCTACAGTGGGATTGCAAATTGAAGGAGAAAACAGAAGAGCAGTTTACTTCAATTTACTCTGATGACTAAATAGCTGTTAAATACAACTTGCTGATAACATTTCTGGTATCTAATCTTGGTACATACCTGAAAAGCCTTCAAAGTTACATTTGTCTGCCTAAAGTATCGGGTCTTAAGTGTGATCAGATTTCTAGAATATCAAGGTGAACACCCTTTTCCACATACAGCATTTTTGTAGCCAGCAATTAATACCAGCACATAATTTCCCATACATCTTGAAATGACTGTAAGTGATTCTTTTGAGACCTGATGGTATAACTCACAAGTGTGAAAGGTAAGTTCACGCGTCTATTTGCTGAACAAAAGTTCTTGCAAAAAACCCTCAAGTACTAACTACACACAGTATTTTCCAATATACTTTTGGCATAAGCTATTTTTAGGATCATTCATGGAAAAGGAAGAAAAGGGTGTGGGAGACTATTTTCACCTGGAGGAGTACAGAATCAAAAAACCAATGTTAAATTGCCTGCTTTACAGAGGGAAAAAAATCTAGACTAGAATAGAACTGGTATAACAAAACTAATTCTCTGAGTGTTTCTAAAGCTTTTACTAACAAAGATGTTCCTGTAGCTCAGACATAAAGATCAGAGCTCAAACACTAAACTTTAACATAAATATGAATAAATGAGTCTACTTGGTTGTCAAAAAATGTAATTTGAAACACCCAAGGGTGGTGAGAAAACTGAATGATTTCTATATTATGATGAATTGCACGTTACCAACTTAAAGACTGGCTTAACACTTGCAGTTCTAGAGATCTGATTTTTAAAAGCAAAATATAAAGTACTTTAAAAAATATAAGATACAAGTGTTATGATCTCTAAAAATACCACCTGTTTTCAGGAAGAATACATGATGGTTAGGTTACAAGAAGTGAACCAACTTTATGGACTGCCAATAACATCTATAGGCAAGTCAACACACCCATAGGGATGATGAGAGAATAAAATACTTTTTCTTCCTTTCAGAACATGTACGTTTATTTTAAAGCAGTTTACAGTACATAAAAAGGGCCTGTCTTAACAATGATTTTCATGGTCAAAAACCCTTGAGTCTTTTCAAATTTCCCTCCAGTGCATGTGTTTCTGGCAACTCTAAAACAAGTACAGCAATTCTGGTCCCAACGCTTTCACTAGAAGTGCTATAGCAGAAAACACTGCAGTGGCACAGTCATAGGACTGTCAATAAAATTGAAGATTATTTTAGGTAAATATAAAGCCGTTTTACCTGCTGGACTAAACTACCTCTAGGTGGACTTGAACTGATGTTCAACATCAGCAGTAACCAGCAAACTGGAAATTAGCCTACACCAGAACTAATGGCATTTTCATACTTTGCTACCCTTGGCATCTAGCATTTTACAAACATTAAGTGCTCATTTAATGACAGGGTTCTTCTAACGTCTCAGGACGGAACACAACAGCCTAGACCAATGGCTGGTGTAAATCATGAGTTACCAGGGAAGTTAACAGGACCATACTGAAATTTATCTTGGCTCATGCAATAGCTGTTTTTACATAACTACATAATTGTTCACAAACCTTAACAATAGTGGTAATATGACAGACGTAAAAAGATAATTCAATTTGATATTTTACTGTTGAAACTCTTTTACTCTAGAAAATTCACGGTATATTTTAAAGTAAACGAAATTCCAAAACTTTGTGTGAATGACTATAGCTGATCTCTTCAGATTACTGACGGTAACCAGAGACAGCATACCTCTGCAAAAAGCCTTTCTATGTTGATTCCCATTATGTGCCCTTGCACATGCTTCAGTATGCGCCGCTGATTAGAGAGGGGAATGGCAGTCAGAAAGATATGGATTTTATTTTTTGCTTTACCACAGACTTTCCATTTGACCCCTAAAGCAACTTTGGCTTTATTTTCATTTCTTCATCTCTATATGGAAAAATATATTATTACCTACAGGACCAAGCGATCCATGTTATTACCCTCTCAGAGACAATCTTATCTCCAACAATACTCCAGGGAATAGGGTTTTAATTCCGCAAGAATCACAAACAGATTTACTGCAGAAAGCTCCAGGCACACAGCCTGTGTAGAATATCGCCCTGCATTACGTGGGACATCAAGGGCTGCTTAGGCTCCTTGTATATCACAGCTGCTCCTACCCCACTGACTTTTGTAATTGGTAGGACCACAAAGATTTTGCTGTATATAGCTTCTTATAAAAATTGGCCAAGAAATTTCCCTGGCAAGTAATATACAGACAACAAAGAGACTGTTCAGCAGACTGCTGAAATTAAAAAAACCTCCAGTGCTACACCGCAGCAGACTTTTGGATTGCAATTCCTTTTGCTTGTCACTTGCGAAACAAGATTGTTGCAAGATTTCGCTCCTAGTTGTTCTGAAAATTGAAGTCAGCTCTTATATAAGGCATCATTTCTACATTAAAAAAATCAGGAGACACCCTTTAGTAGTATCTATTACCTAAAGAGAGTTTTACTTACATCTAGATAATAAGATATATTAGTCATATATGTATATAAAAATAGTAATTGTACTAATATCTTCTACTAACTTCTACTAATACCTTTACTAATATCTACTGAAGTTACTTCTACCAAAAAAAAAAAAAAATTTCTTGCCTTACTTGCCTAGTTCATTCCTTGTTTCATGGCACATATCTCAGTACTCTAAAATGACATAATTAATCAGAGTGAAATTCTTCAGAGCATGGCAAAGCCATAATCACACTTACTACAATAAGAATTAATCTTTTAGAAAAAGCCATACATGTTCAATTTTTAATCTGCATTTGTTCACTGTCAGATTCATAATTATTAGTCAAGACTCGTGAAATTATTTTAGCACAGAAACGTGTTCTGTGTTTGAAGGAACATTGTTTGGTGAATTCTTGAAATACAAACCAGTTTTTAATGCAAGCATGCATTCAGACTGTTGAAATATTTGGAATCAGTTTAACAGTTTTATGCCATCTGACAACTATCTGTGCACAAGAATTTACTTCTTCATTTTAATTCATTTACAAGCTTAGTAATCAGTCATTTCCAGGCACGTTTTTAACAGAAATTTTACAAGGCTAACACATTTATTGACATTAGATCACATAGCTCCTAATCTGAAGCAAAGTTAATACTCAGTAGGGCATCACCCTTCCTCCCTTCCTTCCCTTTTTTCCCCCCTAAGTCTGGAATTCTTTTCATATAGCCCAGTAGCCATCTCCACATGCCAAGTATCACATGCTGGGTTTGATTACTCCCAGAGTTTGTTAATGAATAATTCATTTGACTACCTTGATCATTCTCTAGTTTCATTTGAACTTCCCTGTCCCTGCTTGCTCTTGTATTACATGGAAGTGACAAGCCATCTGTTATCTTGAGGCTCTCATAGCCACCAGGGCCTTACTCTTTCAAAGTTACTCCATCTGGAAGAACTGGCCACGCAGCCACCAAAAAAATAAACCTAGGCAAGTATGCGCAAAACTCTTAGGAGTTCTGCCTCAGGAGATGCGTGTCCCTACTTAAAAATTTACTTGCAAGTAATATACTACCAAAGCCTATTTGACCTTCCCCAGTCATTACTAAACTTCAGCCCCAATTTTTTGTTTAAATCTAGAGTAGTATTACTGTATCTGAGAGACACTTCAGAAAACTATGATTACTTGAGAATCTGGAAGCAAATCTAGAAACATGAACTCAGCCAAAACACGGTTACAGGGCAGAAGACATGAAAACCACAACAGTAGAAGTGAAAAAACACAGAGAAGATATAGTAGTGCAAGAAGTAGTAAATTTACAAACCATAACAAGAGATGGTGAGTTAATAGGCAAGACTTTAATTAGAGATGTTAATTGTCAGACTACTTTTAACGGTCACCAAAAAAACAGGAGAGGGGAAAAAAAATTAAAAAAAGAAAATGAATGTAAAATTTTCAACAGAAATCGTGCTTAAGAACTTGACAGTCCAGTCAGGAAAAAACTGCCCTTTGCTGTCTGTGATGATGTTCCTGCAACTTGTTCTCAATACGCAGAAGTTATGCATCCTTCCACAAGATCAGGTGCCACCATGCCTGAGCCCAAACCAGGTCAGTTTAACTTTAGAGGACTGTATGTCCTGCAAAGTCAAGTCTTAGCTACATTACAAAGAACATCTACTCACAACTATGGACATGAGCAATTAATACAGGAAAGACAATACTACTAAATAGTAAAACTAGATTTCAAGTCTGGCAACAAAAGGAAAACATTCGATATTTCTGAGACTGGTACATGTTCTTGACTGCCCTTTCTCCTAAGTTATGTACGAAAAATAAGCAATTATTCTAATTGTAAGCACCTACTTGCAGTCTTAATACACACTCTAAACTTGTATCACCTATCTCACCTCTTACCATGAGCACCTGGGAATTAATTTCATGCTAGGCTATTGTCTCTGTGTACTACTGTTACTAAACCCATCTTTTGTCTTGCCATAAACTGGTCAGACAATAAGACTAGACTATTTCATATTGTAGAAAACACAAGTGTGAAAGACAAAATTACTATTTTTTTAAATTCATGAAAATAGTGATGGTATCTGTGAGTTTAATGAGGGAAATGAGATAAAATGATTTAACCTCATTTAATTATGCATCCAGAAAAAAAAATAATTTAAAGAAATATCTGGAAAAATAATGCTTTTTCTCTCTCCCTAAGGACTTACTTAGCTAAATTTGGAAATTCTATCAACCATGAAACAGATACAGTATCATACCACTTGTCCACTTCACCAAACCATTGTGAGACCTAATGATAATGCTGTTGGAAATCACTGGAGAAAAAGTGTTTTAGGGAAATCTTGCCACTGTAAGCCCCAGCTGAGCTTTAGGGGGGCAAGAGAGCATTAGAGGGTGTCAGGAGGAATCCTCCCTCCCACAAGGCCTGAATGTACCTAACAACTGTGAGTGCATTAGCTGGTGGACAGGCAGAGCAGATGATACACAAGCTTCATATCTGCTTCAATAATGCATGTGAAGAGCCTTTGTGACTCCCTTTGTGTAAACTTCACAGATCCTCTTGTCCTCCAATCAGTGAGGTTAATTTGATTTTACCAAAGTAATTCTAGCCTCCATACAAAGGGTGACATGCTCCTAAAGAGAATTTGATTTGTTAAAAACATTACAATTCAGCCATGAGAAAGTAATTGAAGTTCTCCAATGTTTAACGTCAGAGATAAAAGATTCTGAAGAATAAATAAAGCCTCTAGGAGGAATGACTGTTCTTTCTTAAAATGAAATGTTTCAAGTCTTAATTGTACAGTATATTTGATTTTAAAAATTACTGAACACTTACAGGCCAGTACTACAGGACCTAAGTGGTTTTGTTCTTTTTGGAGCTCATCAGCTGCATGTAACAGCCAATAAAACACAGCACAACAGTCACTCTTCAGCCCTTTAAATGCCTAAAACTAACATAAGGATAAGGTATTTTGTTTTCCTTTCAGCCTCTTAAAAATGTTATCTATATGGAAGTGCAGATCAGTTTTATTCCCTGTGTAGCTAATGAAATTCTACGCACAAGAGTCCCTAATAAAGGTATTTTAACAACAGCTTTGAGTCTGTCGCTTTAATATGAGCGATAGTCAACAGAAAAGGGTTTCGTTATGAACAGCTTCAACTACTGGCAAAAATTAAAAGTGGAATTACACTTTCAGTTACAGTGTTGAAAACTCAGCCAAACTGCTACTATTCTCAAGCCAGCTCACTGCAACTATATACAGCAAGACACTCCCTCATGCAAACAGCATCAAGCAATTCCATTCAAACAACCACTTTTAGAGTACGGTTTTGATTGTTCTTTTCTAAGCATAAGAATCTGCATGCTACTGAACTCACTTATGCTAAATTGCAAGACACTTGGACAAGGTATTGTAGTTCCATAACATACCACAAGTCTCCAAACCACTATACATAACTTCTACTACCACTAGGTTGAACGTACAACTATGTTAAATTAATACACTCTGTTACAGTAACTTTTCTTTTTAAAAATCAAATTATGAACATTTCTTTTTAGTGGGTTCTTATGGGTTTTTTTTTTGTTGTTGTTTTTTTAATATCCATTTCTATATCCTGCCTGTTGCTTTTGCAGAAAGTCATCTGGGACTACGCACGAAAAAACTAAATGGAAAAAAATGCATCTCTGAAGACAATTTCAGGGTTCCAGTGTGTGCAAAGAAACTAACTTTATAAACCAAACTTAAAGTTTTTTATGTCTACATCTAAACAAATCTTTTCTAGAAGAAAAAGACCCTGGCATCAAGCATTCTCCAAGGAGAATCTTCAGAGAAAAAATTCATAACTGAATGTGGTCATTCTTGTCTTCAAGGAAAAAAACACCAGTTGTTACTTCAGCACATCTCTGATAACATCATCTCCCTGGGCACATAAAACTATCTTGAGCTCTTTTACGGATTCCTGGACATGTATTATTCTTTATATTGTTAAACCATTCCAAACGGCAGTCAGTTAGATTATCAGTTTGTGACTAAAGACCTTTCACTTCTTGGGGTGTTATGTACTGGTATTTTAACAGATGAAATTCTAGTTAGTGGAAATACAGTGGAATTTGCCTACACATGAAAACACAACTTTGTCCCAAACGTAACTATTACAATGATAATGTAAGGCTGCATTAATCTTTTATCTCGATACTTAATTTAAACATTGTATTTTGCAAAATTATATTTAATTTTGGTTTGAAAATAGGTCATCATACTCTGAACTAATTTTATACCACACAGTTTGTGAACATAATTTAAGCCACTCGGAGAGACTTGCCATTTTTCCGCGATGACTTCTGTACTGGAGGTGGCAGACAGGTTTGTGCTGTTGCTAGCTCAGGATTGGCAGCTTTAGTTCCATGACTGGCTTTCACCTTATCAGCCCAACTTACACCAGAAGGAGCCAGGCGTGTTGCAGAAATTGTCACTGCAGGGTTCCTAAATGAAAGTCATAGCTCTTTTTAGTGTTTAATCAAGTAACAGAATGGTTCATTAGAAAATTTCGTCAGGACACTCTCTCCTTGATCTTGGTGTTCACTGATTCAGACTGAGAGCTAGTTCCGAAATTGTAAAAATGTCTAGTGGCTGAAGAAACATGCAGCACTGCAGTGATGGACAAACAATTCCCACAAGAAACATTCTCTGATACTAAATTTTGAAATCATAAAAATAAACATATGGTGAATATTTACAGCCAAATGTACCAGATCTTCTATTGCATCTTCCTGGGTCCTGCCCAACGGCATCAATGAACTGTACAGAATGGGCGGCAACCGTTACCAATACGAGGAGTATATGTGCAAGGAGTCCAAAAAAGTGTAGATTTAATTGTAAATGTAGATCACACAAATCCATAAAGTACTCTGTTCCAAGGTTAAGTAAATAAAAGAATAGATCTATTTTCTATTATTTCTTTAGCAAACAAATTGTAAATCTGGAAGGGCATTCTGTTAACTTTCAGAAAGATCCAAATGACTGCCTAAAGCTTGAATTTCTGGATGGACAGAATTGTAGTGTTTTTTAAATTATTTTGTTTTGCTTTTTGTAAAAAGCTGCCACTTTCTGCACAAGGTTTAGAGCAAAAATCCTATATAGTTTTATTTCAGTGAATGCAAGCAAAATTTTTTTAAATTGGAAAATGGTAACATTCGTTCCAGAAACACATGTTCAAGAAGTGTCCAATTCTCTTCCGTAACAGGAGTCATTTTATCTGCAATCATACAACTGATTTCTCTTCCCAGCTTTACAACATTGATTAAAACAGTCCAACAAATCCAGCTGCCCCATTAGCCAAAACAAACCAAGGATAAAGAAATGGAGATCCTGCAAGCTTCAAACAAATGTGTAGAAAGCCTCCATATAACTAGACTGTACACTTATTTTAAGCCCAGTGAGATGTCAATTTGTCATTATTTCCTATTTTTATCAAGTCAGTCATCAAAAAACCTATCAGGAATAATTCCATAAATTATAAAAACCTGGCTGGTTGGTTTATTTGTTTTTAATAATCCCCATTGATCCTATGCAGTATTTCTTACAAGAAAACCAGGAAAAGAGGCCAAGCCCCGTACCCTGTCTCTGGTACTTACATACAGCTGAGCAAAGAGACTGTCAGAACCATGCAGTACAGAATGACTTTTCCTTTGGCACACTCTCCAGGTTGCAGCAATTTACACTGAAAAGTTGTACTTTATTAAACACATCAAAGGCGTGAGTCATTCACCATGAATTTCTATAGTAGTACAACAACAACCTCCTCTATTCCTTTCCTAATAATTCCTAGCATTCTAGGAATGTACAAAAATTTCCATAGTACCAAGTATGTCTAAACCTTTATTTTCTATCCTATTTTCTCAAACGCACACAAAATCTTGTAGTTGTCTGGCGTTGCCTTGCTTTGAGACATACAAGCAGACTAAGACAGAAGAAAAAGTTTGCAATCTGAAGGACAGAAAATTCATCTTGTTATTAGCTGCTTTAACACACACAGTTGCTAATCATCTCCCTGTGATGGTGAATAAAACAGCTCCAACAACAATAGCAACATGTAATTACGTACAAAAAAAAAATTTTTTCATTTGACTACTTGTGCATATTTTCTCCCCACCATCATGCATTTAAGCAGACACCTCTCGAATGTTGTCAGGTAGGTATCAATACATACATGTACAAAAAGACTAGCAACGGTGGAGCAATTTTTTTCACCAAACACAGTTTTTAATATTTTTGTAGAAATATTTGACATTCAAAATTTAAGAGAGCTCAATACTCAGAGGTACTGACCAAATATTCTAAGATTACATTTCTGCTGAGGACTTGTAACCACCTATGAAACAATGTAGTATGTGCTCTAGATCCCAACAAACCTGAATGAATTAAAAAAACACACCCTGAGACAGATTTAAATTGGACACATACGTGCTCTCCAGAACTGAAACAGCACCAGACAGTGCTGCTCTAAAATGGTGTTTATGCACATTTTTGTTGCACTGCTTTCAAACAGCCATTTTCATTTTAACAAGTAAAAGATGCTTTATTGTAGTACATAATATGTTCCATACTTAAACTAGTATCAGTTTTGCTATTCACCAGAATCATAATAATTTCAGTTTACATTCACTCTTTTTGACCTACATTTACTTTCGTACATTCAGCTAGCCATTCACATTGCATACACTGGCAATTTTAAAATGCCAATTACAGACATTTTGATCTTTGTTTTGTAGTGGGAAGGGACTATTAAAGAGATAACATGAAATACACTAATTGTATTTTAACTTCAGGTCTTTGGAATGACCAGTAATTAAATATATAACAAAGTATGTAAAAAATTAAGTCCTTGATAGGATTTTCTTTTATAAACCTTGTGCTTTTCTTTCATGAATGCAAGTAATTGCATATATGACAATGAACAGCAAAACAATATACTGACTACTATAGCAAAATAGTTTATTCATGAACTCTGCTTCAAATGCATCCTTATTTTAGCTTTAATAAGCTTATGATCTGGTTTCATACCCAAAATTTAAACTTCTTCGAGCATTTGATGTCACACTAATTCTATCTGTTGATGGACTTGGAATCACATGGCGTCCTGGAGACATTTTCTTTACTTCCCAGGCTAACGAAGTAGGTCTGCAAATTCAGGAAAGAAAAATATAAAAATAAAATTCGCAATAACTACTCCTCTATCACCTTAAACGAAAAACAGCACTGACAAATCCTATAAAGTATTAATGAATACTGCTGAATTTAATCACACATCTTAGCAATCGTTTCTATTCCAACTCCAAACTGTATTAACCAGACTCATCTCAAAAACAATGCATAGTCTCAAGACTACAGGCTTATTTTAAATGTCAGTCTGGGACCAAACATCAAACCAGCCAGTTAAAAGGAAAGGATCAGGTGTAAGACTAGAAATATCCTCTAGTTCTAGTCACAATAACAATGCACATAAAAGGCCACAACCATTTACGGTACCCTAGGTTTTCCCATCCCGTGTAACAGAGCGTTCAATACAGTTCAAATGCTGCTTTGGTTAATATAGGTATCAAATATCTCCAGTATATATATATAAAAAAAATTTAGAACTAAACAAATATACCACCTTCCACTCCTTCTATTGTATTACCAACATACCAAATTTTGTCAGCAATAACATTTACTGATAAATGTGTACTTGCAAAGATAATTGAACAGGTTGATTTAAGTTAACTGCCACTAACATAAAATGCTCTCGTTCAAACAGACACAGTCTGAAGCAGAAGCTAAAGTAGCAGTTTCATTATGCATTTCATTGAAGCTGACGCTATTTTCTTTTTTAACCCTTACTCCAGAAGCTATCTGATTACATGAAAACTACAACTGGCAATTAAAAACAAAATCAAACTTGTAGAACCCACTGCTGATGAAGACAGATTCTGAAAAGCACTTACATAAATTATTTTTTTAACTGGTTCCAGTACTACTGGCAGGATTAACAACCTATAATCAACTAATAAAACCACTTTGTCACATTTTGTCTACTTTTTGTCTCTACCTAGGCAGATGGGTGATTGATCTCACTACCTAAAATGGAAGAACTGAACTGTATCACTCCACACATAATACAGGTCTTCCATCTTCTACAGGCACAAATTATACCAGCAAAACCTTACTTCTCATTTACCTCTCAAAGCTAAAACTTAGGCACCAAGGCACAAATTCAGCACTAGGCACAAACTATAATGACATAACCAGTTTTACCTTTCTGACACTATACTTCCAAACGCTTTACCATTTCCAGCACAGCTGTTCACTGGTAACACTAACAGAGAGGATAAAATTCCCACTCTGTCCTCACACCAATTCTGTCCAAAAGGAAAATGTCCTAATTGATGCCCCAAAACAGATATTAGAATTGGTTCTATTTACTGAATCTCTGCTACAAAATGAAGTTTACTATCAGACAGTATTTAGATGTAGATTAAAAAAAAATACAAATTACCTGCTTTGAGCATCAGCTTTTTCTAGCTTCTCCTGTAGCTGTATCCAGTCAATCAACGCTTTGAAATCCCTTACATAGTTATCAAGCATCATCAGAACTTCCTGAAAAGCAGTCATTACATCAACCTTTGTATTTAAAAAACAACCCCCCCGCCCCAATAAAGAAACTGAAAAGAAAGTAGGAAATTAGTAGTCTGTAGATCTCGTAAAAAATAAACCCAAGAAAAACCCTGAAAACAAAAAGCCCAAATAGTTAATATTTTTATGTGAACAAACAGTAAAACATTTATCCTATCAAGAAACATGCACTTAGTTTCTAAGATCTTTGCGAGCACCAGTGTCTAAGGACAAAACAGCAAAATTTGGCAAGAAAATAATTCCTAACATACATTAGTATCACTGTTTCAGGATTTTTATGTCAGAGTTGTTATCTTTTAAAATATGCTGGACATATTTCATCAAATAAGCAAAACTGCCTGTAAAACCTGATAGACCTGTGGGAGACTAAAAATGTCTCGATTAATCTGTTTCTGAAGTAAAAATACACAAAGCTACACAAAGGCAACTGCATCAGACAGAGGGAATTCCTTCTGGAGAATCCTGGGATCCCTGCATTAGTAAAAAAGTAGTCCTTACGCCTCTGAAGTTCAGCAAACCGTATCCTGTTCCTACAAACTTTCAAGCGTGCAGAACTTTCAAATGATGTCTGCTTGTGTGTGTCCAGATTAATGACAGACATTCTATTGTCACGTGAGATTATCATCACTATTGGACTAATAAAGCCGTTTTTAATCAAGAAGACTCTCATGGTGATATTTTGAGAGGCAAAAAGGGAAAGACCACTGCATTACACTTGGTTTATAAAATCATCATGTTTGACATTAGCTAGAAGATGCAAAGTTTACATTCTCTTCTCCAATTAGCCCACCTTGACAAGTGAAAAAAGTCACTAACTGCACATTCTTGTCTATGGAATAAGTACATGTCCAGACCTTACAACTCCAATACCCAGATTATACTTCTTGACCATTACAAACTAATTAATTTTTTATCATTTTAAAAATTACTTTTGAACTATACGGAGTTACCGAAGAATTTATGCATTTTTATGTTAATTAATCACTGAAAGCTGTAGTCATGAACATATTTTATGGCTCGAAAGATTTACACATTATCATAAAATAACACAACTGGGAGGGATCTTAAGAGCAATCTAGTCCATCCCATAATTCATGGGTAGGATTAAACATACGCTGTCAGAAATTATGTGGGCATGCTGGAGTTTTATTGAAAATATTGCAAAATCTTGATTAAGTAGTTAGAATCTTGTAAATTAGTGTTAGTCTCTAACAGATAAAATTAACTGTTATGAAAAGACATAGAAAATTAACCTGACTTCACCCTGTATCAGGAAGAAATTAATAGATAAAATGCCAGTGGCTGAACAGTAGGGAACTAAGAGATTTGTTTCTGATAAAAATATCCTTAACTTTCAGAAATTATCAACTGTATCTACTGATTTCCAGTTTGGTCAAATGTACAACTGTAGTAACTATAGCAAGGTCAGACTACATACAGAAACAATAAAAAATTAAAAGGTAAGTTGGGATCCTGCAGTCTTTGCTCAGACAATACTGCCATTTTTTCGCAGCAAAGCAGAGCAAAAGACCGTATGATTAAACTCTTAGCTTTGTTCACTGAGCAAATTATAGTTATCTACTGTTACGGGTAGAGAAAGGAGCAATTCTTTAGCATATACCATATATATATATATAAAAACCCACATATAAACTCAAAAATCATTTACTGAATGTGACAAAACACACACAGACCATCACAACCAACAGGCATAAGGCACCTTCTCAGCAGAGCTGATTATCACCCAATGAAGCACATTAACACATTGCTAAAGGAGACAGTTTGAGATCATATCAATCAGAAATAGAACCTTTCAAAACTATTCTTTCAAAGAAAAATGTATACTGTACTCTATGATGACAACGTGCTGCAAATAATAAAAATCCATAAATGAAGCTTGAATTCTATGAAAATTTACATGAGCTTCGCATGCAGAGTTTAAAATATAGATGTAATTTTATGGTATAAGGAAAAACACTAATGACAAAGCGTTCCTGTTTTGCAAATTCTTTACTACGTCAAAGTCATGCCTGCTGGTATTAAGAGCAGTTTTCTGCTCAAAGCAAATAATTATTACTGAGAAATATTTTGGGAACAATTACAAATGAAAGCGTACTGGTTCTTAAGTGGGTAACTACAAATTTTAAGAGTAAAACTTTTAACACTGAAAACAGTAAAGACACTCTACTACAGTACAGGTAACTAATGCACATTTTTGTAACATCATGTGCCATTCATCTTTACTTTTAATTGTCCTTTTAATACAAAAAGGACCTCTAATGTATGCAAAAATGCTTTTTCGTAAAATTATGTGGATGATTACTCATTTTGTTTAACACAAACGCAAGTCTGAAATTCAGCTTCAGTTTTCACATAAGTACCCTTTTAACTAGTACGTATGACAGATACAGAGCATATGCTGGTTGTTATAAGGGAAAAGTCACAAGAAAGTCAAACACAAGGGAAATCAAACAGAATACCACTGCTGATGTAAAAGTTGCTCTTTGTTTTGAAATACTCCACAAAAAAGCTAACAAAAAATCTTTCTTACAAGGCAGTTGATTTACAGCAACAAAATAGTTTGTAAGTAAAATCTGCTACAAGAAATGAACAAGTCAAGTATTTTAGCCAGTTCTTTTTTCAGTTTCACTAATAAAATTTCAGCTTTCTAATTCAATTCATATCCATTTAGGTTAGCCCATACTAAGTTGTGCTGACTGTTACTAACAATAAGAGCATAGAAAGCAAAATTTAATTCTGAATCATTTACTTTTCAAGCCTGCCACTGAGATATTCCTCACAAAAAAAAAAAAAAAGAAATCAATCTGAATATGAATTATATTTCTGAAGTTACTTGGCATAGGAAAAAAAATACAACAAATGGTTTAACCTATTTTAAGGAATGTTTAGCTACAGATTATCAGAAATGATCAGAGCAGAACCATGCAGCTGTAACCCGAGTCATGTTTTACGAACAAGGGAATACAAACAAGACAAGCAGCTGGAGCGGCCCCATACTCACTGATGCACATCTTTCTCCCTAAAGCTATGAGGGCCATTTTGTCAAGCAGGATGAAGCAGAACAAAAGTAGCTCTGAAAGCGCCGTTACAGGCATCCAGATAACTACATATAGACGTACAGCTAAAATTACCAATTAGTTTACCAATTGGCTGCAACGGATTCGATTGGTTTGTAATTAATTCTAGTTACTGGCGCATACAGCAGGACGGTTGGCGCCATCCCTTTGTCCTACTGACACACAATACTGGCGTGCAGGGCTCTGGGGTCTTGGACATCAATATAGCTCTCTAGCTCACCTACGGTACCGAGTGTAGCAGATATACCCTGTGGTGCTGAAGCAGTGGAAACTTGTACCACTTGAGAAGGTGCTGACAAAAAGCAACCTTTATGGGGTAGGCTACGGCTGCACTAGAGTCAAAACAATTTTAAATCCCATTATTTTTCAAGGTCATATCAATCCCGTACGATTTTTAAAGAGCCAGTTCAAACTAAAAAAGAAAGCACTACTGTTAAAAAACAACACTTAAAAGAAAATCTGTGACATAAAACTGAAAACACTCACAATACAGCTCCTGTTTCTTTCTCCCCTCTGTTCAATCCTCTGATCAATAGTCCCGTGTGCCAAAAAGCTCTTTTTGTGCTTTTTCCTTCTTTTCTGCAGCTCTCCATCATTACTTTGGTTTCTATGTATGTATTTATCTCAAAGTTGGACTTCTAGTCTCTTCAACTGGGTGATCATATTCATTACTTTGCCATCAAGAAGGACCTCTAATACATAGAGTAGCTACATCAGAATAATCCTATATTCCTGAATCAGGACAACTTGACTTGGATCCTAGATAGGCCTATTATAATCCTTAAAAACAGAAGTTCCCTTTGGAAATCACACAACGGCTTTGAAACATCATCTTCTCCATTTATTCTCCCATTCTCAAACAAGGAGGAGGAAAACAGGGAAGCATGGAAAATCATACAATTCAAAATAGTAGGATGCGTGTCAGAGAAATTAACTCAGTCACCACATCTGTACTTTAGCTTATTCTCAAGGCTAGAAATGTGTGTTTTATTTTACAAACTATGCATACTTTATATTGTTTCATTATCTACACCAAATATTTTGGATTATATATTCACCAAACTAAATTCAATTTTCTTGTACTGGAGCACATTTTTACGAGGCAACCTAAGTTCCTCCTTTCTTTAAATCTATGTTTTTAAGGTTAACTGGGTGTTTCAGTAATTTGACACAAAAATTGCTTCAAAAAATTCCTTGTAGCCTTTTTTGTACAGTTGAATTACAAACATTAAAGCCAGTTCTGGGGTTAGGTTAAGCAAAGATGATTGCCAAAGTGGTTCTTACAACTTTGGGAGAGGATGAAAGGAAGCAGCTCCTCCAGCCAAAGGACTCTTATTATACCAACTTCAGTACATGGCAGACAATAGTAAAAAGAAAACACTCTAAAACAGATGGAGAGAGGAGAAAAACAGAATAATTTTCCAGTACCTAAAGTTATCCCGATCGGTATGCCTTTTTAAATACTCTCACACTATGCTTGCAGAAACCAGTAAGCAGCAAACTCTAGAAAGCAAAACTGCTGGGACACATGGCCTCTCAGAGTCAAAAGTGAAATGCATCATATCTGGCCTCAGTTTGTTCCTCACTGATTCACCTATAACATGACAGCCATAATCCTCTATCTGCTAAGGATGTGCTCCTGAGAAGTGTAACCATTATCAAAGTAAATTTTCTCCATACGAATGAATGTAGCAGCCAGGGGGCACATGCAGGGACTTAATCACACAATTTATTTACACAAAAAATGTAAATATACATATGAGGCAAAGGATGGACAGGCAAGAATAGGATTATCCAGACTGCCAAGTAGAAGAGACACCAGCTTTTCATTATCTGGCTTTTTAGAATAGATTACTATTCTGA